CTCTCTAATAAATAAATAAATAAATAAATAAAATCTTTAAAAAAAAAAAAATTCTGGTTCCTTAGCCTGACTGGACTGTGGCCCAACTGCATGCTTCAAGGATGTGTTAAACCCCTGAAGCAGGGCTATAGCCTAAATGCATTGATCCTGCTGAGGTGCAGTTGTCAGACGTGAACACGTGCCTTCCGCTGAGAGGTGAATTTGGGTCTTAGAGGACATTCTAGATGAAGGCACTCTCATCACAACCCTGGCCTTGCTCTTCCTACTCTAATCAGTCAGCTGCTGGGCCACGAGCTTTGATAACTGACCTCACATTGAGCTTCCAGAGTTGGTCTTATCTATCCAACTAGATAAGAAGCTTAAGGGTTTCCTGAATCTGACACTTGTCTGTGTTCTGCACAAGCTCCAAGATACACAGGCTTTGAGTTGAACTGACTCAAAAAGTATTTAGGCAGGGAAGAAAGACTTCTTCATTCATGTCAGAGACTTGAGAGCACATACTCCAACAAAAATGAACTACTACAGATATTAATTCACTGGCGTAATACATAACAACTCAGTTCTACTTTACTAGATCCTTGGGTTCCACCTGGCTCTGCAGGGCCATATTACTTACGCTATGAGATTTCTCAACGACCACAGATGCATCAGAACTTGCTTGAAAGACTTCACTATGTTCTGGCTGCTCATTTTTTCTGGGAGACAGGTGCCTGATACCTAATGATTTTAACACAACCAGGGCCATAGTCATTCAGTGGTATTTAGATGGCATGGAAGGGGAGAAGAGTGGAGTGAGAGGAGAGATGCGTGACTACTCTGCCGAGGGTGGCCATGTCCCATTAGTGGGGTTCAGTCCAGAGAATGGAGACTGTTAGTTTGGCCTGGCCCCAACACCCGGTCCTGTATCATCATCCTTTTGCCCACCCATTCAAGATCAATGCTTGAAAAGGAACAGTTTCTAAAAACTAAAAGAGCCCAAGCCAGTAGATTTTCTACCTAAGATAAGTGATAATTTTAGATGCATCTTTCTTTGATTTGTAAACAACTGTGAAATAATATTCCATGCCCCACTTGCAAGCAAATTACCAAATGGAACTACATGGCCTTCAGTTTTAACCTAAAAATCTATAAAGTGATGACAGTCAATGCCATTTGTCTCCAGGTTCTTCTGGCACAGAATCTCTGGGAGCCAGTGGAGTTTTTCTGGCTTAAAATGCAATGCAAGGAAATGGGCAGTAGGGAATGGCCATCTACCACTGCACTCAGGTAAGAAAGGTTCATTTCCCCGCCAGGTTAGAGCCAGGAACAGGGTCACTGTATAGAGATTATTTTACTTCCTTTGAGCAAATGGGTCTGCTCCAGTAACAGAAAAACTCATGAATCTTTGGATTTCTTTACCTTCAGGAAGGACAGTGGAATCAAAAGGGTATGCTGCTTTTCCCTGCAACTCAGGGTTCCCAGAGGGAAGGGAAAGGAGAGATGACCAAGCAAAGGAAATATGCCAGGAGGCTTACTTATTTTTGAGAGCTAATAACTTGATAGAGCTCACCTATCCCAATTCCTCCAACTGAACTTACTGGTGCAGCTTCGAGGCCCAGGCTGTCTGCCATGCTGGTCACTGTCACAGTCACTGTTGTCCATTTTGTCACACTTGCCATTTCCTCCTGGCTCATCATTTTTCCTGGGATACTCTACAATGCACTGCCAGCCCACTTTCTCAGGGTCCCTCAGCAGGGGCTGCAGCAGGGGATCAGGCACATTCTTCGCCTCACCCTCTGAAGTCACACTACTCTGAGGATGCCAAGGTGGTACCACCAGCTGCCCAGTAGCTGCTCTCTCTGCCATATCTTTCACCTCCACTGGACAGAAGGGAAAGCAGCATTTACAACAGAACTCTGAACATTAGAAACAAAAGCTTTTGCTTCTTAAAGAGCTATATAATATTTTAGAGCTCATATTGTCACAATAGTTGCCTTTTTAGAACTGCGTCATCCTTAGCTTGCCCTGTTTGGCTTGAAGGGGAAGGGAGAAGAGAACTGATAACAGAGGGGAGGACAGGATTTCAGTTCATTTCTGAATTTTGGAATGGAAGGTAGCAGAGAATTTGTAGATAGACCTTCTTGCTGTGAAGATTTTATAAGAAAATAACATCTGCAGCCCCCAGTCTGTAGAGACTAATGGAAAGGATTCTATCTGAGTTTGTCTAGCCTCTCTAGACTAGGCAGAGCTCATATGGGTGTGTGTGTGTGTGTGTGTGTGTGTGTGTGTGCGTATTTTTATATGTGTATCTGCATGGGCATGTCTTCATTCCAAATGTTCTATACTTTTGCTAATGTCATTTAACATAAGTATTAAAAAACACACTGTATCCTTTTAAGCTTATAAAACTGATACAAAAGGAAATGCCCACAGGATATGCAAAAGTGACACTGCATGCTCTCTACTTTCATAATGAATGTTACACATTAAATTTCTACTGTGTATTGTTTTGCTACACTTGTTATAAATATGCATATATATATATAATGGAAATATTTCTTATAAAGTCTAGAAATGAATAAAGTTTTTCCCAGAAAAATAAATCACTGAACAGTACGGTATACACAGTGGCAAGCTTGACAGTCTCTTTTCTTTGGACTAGTAACACAAAACATGTTCATTTAAACAATGTTAAAAGACCCATCTTAATAAAAGCTTATCTTTCCTGACTAAGAGGTAAACAAAAAAAAAAAAAAGAAGAAGAAGAAGAAAGAGAAAGAGAAAAGCATTTCCTTTCTGCAGTTTGTAATCAGAAAGGTCTTGCTTTTAAACTGGAATGAGCTGGGGCGCCTGGGTGGCTCAGTTGGTTGAGCGACTGCCTTCGGCTCAGGTCATGATCCTGGAGTCCCTGAATCGAGTCCTGCATCGAGTCCCGCATCGAGTCCCGCATCGAGTCCCGCATCGAGTCCCGCATCGGGCTCCCTGCTCGGCAGGGAGTCTGCTTCTCCCTCTGGCCCTCCCCCCTCTCATGTGCTCTCTCTCGTTCTCTCTGTCTCAAATAAATAAAATCTTTATAAACTGGAACGAGCCAACAGAAGAAAAGAATGTGGGAGGCTGGTGCAATGCAGGCTGTGTACTTAGAGATAACAACCAGGTTAGAAATAGACTTTAAATTTCATCTGGCCCAACAGAACCTATGACTCTTTACTCACTTTTCCATTTCAAGTATACCTCTCCATCATCTTCATTATTTCTTGACTTTGCGTTACAGATTTCAGAAGAGACGGACTCCATACTGATCCTAAATTGTATAGGTTTGGGGGAAGGGGAGCAGGGTGGACACAAATACACCAGTTTGCTCAAGTGCCTGACGCAAACCAGAGCCCTCCAGCCCATCCAGAGGACCAACCCCTACTCAGAGCCATTCCTGGGACTGCACTGACTCCTGCTTACCACCAGAGGGCGCCAGACTCCCCAACGTTCAGACGACTCGAGCCTACCTAGTAGAGCCCTGGCCAGGGCCAGATGACACAGGAGGTCCCTTGGGGTGGCTTGACACAGTAACAAGTGCACTAGTAAGCTGAGTCAGCTTGGTTCGGGCACTGGACTCTTTAGACCGTCCCTGGCTAAGAAATGAAAAGACTGGGTTAGAAGACCTCTAAGGTATTTTTTTCAGTTTCCAAGTTCAGATTTCATGATTCTAAAAGTACTCTTGAGAAATTTTCACAGGAAGAAGAAACCCACAATTGAAACCCAGTTTCACCAGACTTCTGAGCCTTAGCAGAGCCCCCCGCCCTAACAATGCCACAGAACACAGGTGATGGTTCAGTAACTGTTCCTACCCTTTGAACAGAATTCTCCGGTAAAAGGCGCACCTGCGTATCAGTGAGAGCACAATAACTAATATTTGCAAACATGGCCTTAAGGCACCAGCAAGCCTGAAGAACATTCAGAGTTCTTCAGCCTAGTCTTAAGTTCTAACCCTACCTGCCACTAACCGGCTGCCTGCCTCTGGCATACTTCAATCTCTCTGGACCAAGTTCCCTCATCTGAAAAACAAGGGAGTCCTTCTTCCTCCACATATCCATGATCATATATACATCTCATTGTCTATTAAAGTAACTCCTCAAAAACATGTGACCTGTGGCGTATGTACGAATTCCTCCTTATCCTGAACGCCCTACTTCCCCACTGGACCAGAACACAGAGAGACTGCTGACCTGGAAAGGTCAGATCTGACTGGCTTCTTTAAAGAGCAATTTGGCAGCAGCTATCAAGTATCTTTAAAATGTTTAAACCCTTTGACCTACTAACTCTGCTTCCGGCAATCCATCAAGGACATAATCCAAAGAGCAGAAAAAGCTGCACTGCCAAGTCACTGCAGCCCTATTCAAAATGGATAAAAGCATGAAACAACCTAAAATTCAACAATGGGGGACATCCAACAAGTTCAAATTTACAGGATGTTTTCTTTTTTTAAATCTTTATTTATTTAAGTAATCTTTACACCCAACATGGGGCTCAAACTCACAACCCTGAGATCAAGAGTGGCATACTCTTCCAACTGAGCCAGTCAGGCGCCACTGGATGTTTTTTAATAATGTGGGATATAATGCTCTTGTTTTAATGTAAGATGAATAATCAGGATATAAAAGTACCTATATGGGGGCGCCTAGGTGACTCAGTTGGTTAAGCGTCTGACTCTCGATCTCAGCTCAGGTCTTGATTTCAGGGTTGTGAGCTCAAGCCCTGCGTTGGGCTCCACAATGGGTGTGGAGCCTACTTCTAAATAAATAAATGTAGCTATATGCATATAATTATATCTTTTAAAAGCATACAAAAAGATTAGGTGGATTGGTAGCAAAATGTCAAACTTTTCTTTGGTCTGTCTTTTGTTCTTTTGGGGGAACAGGGTGAATGGGTGTAGCGGAGGCCACAACTATGGCTTTGCTTTGTCATCTAATGGCCATACTATCACCCCATTTGCCTCTCTCAATGATGTGAGTCCTAACCCCTTTGATGCCAGTTAGTTGGTTCTCCAATAATTCCCTTTGTAAAGGTAAAATACACTGAACTAAAATGTGTGGGCATTTTCTTTGATTCTCCCTAGTGAACACGTTTACTAACGTGAAAGGAACAGCAAACTCTTGTCATTAGTCTCAGTCACCACTAGGAGAAAAACAAAAAGTTACTTTTTGCCAGGAGAACTGACTTCAAAGCCATGGATTAAAAGCTACCATTTAAACACAAAAAAGGAAAGCTGAAATTGATAGACTAGTCTATCTTGAAACACCTTTAATAATTGCCCCTATGCAAAATAAAATCTGTTTTACCTAAATTCTTAAAAAGTCAGTGTACACATATGCTCTCCTTCCTATGATCTGTGCTGAAGCCAATTCATTTCATTCATCTGGATGGAAATCATAGGCTGCATGGTAACAGTTAAACTGTTCAACCCCTGCTCTGGAGTCAGGGATGCTTATTTTGAACAACCCTAGTTTCCAAATAGTTTGGTTTCTGGAGCACTGACAAATGGAATACCTGGCATTTCTTTTTATAAGAAAAACAATCTGGCCAGCTTTGGAAAGGCAAGGTGCTTTGCTTTTGACAAATGATATGTTCTGTGTGATTAACCTGCCAGCTACTTTACCTTTGATGTCTTCTCCTACAGGTTTCTGTTACGTGGCTCTTTCTGCTCACCTGAAGGAGAAAACCTGCCAAGATCTGTTTCTGTGTTAGTATTCTTCATCACTCACAGTCTCTTTGTCACAAGACACGTGAAGATCATTAAGTGACTTTGGGGTCACGTGGGAGTCTAAAGGCATGGTGACACAAAGAACAAAATATTAACCCACCTACTGGTATTTGGGGTCCTGTTTCTTTCCAAACTACATTTGGCTCCTTGAATGGGCTGTGACTGGCCACTTGTGCTCTGTTTTCCAGGTCCACAAAAAGTTGGCAGCTTAAAAAGCAGTAAACATGTTTCAGTGCTTTGATGAAGGAATTCCTCTTCACTCTCACGTTCTATTTTTCAAGCCATTCTCACTAAATGTGCAGAAATAACCAGACCTACTAAGACGATTTCCTTTTGCATATTTCATATCTAGTAACTCATCTCTTGGCTGGAGGTCTTTACACAGAAATGCTGGTCCCCAGAAACCCAGTCCAGACTGGGAGCAAGTGAAGAATGAGCAGACAAAGCAGACTTCAAAAATCCAATAACTTTCAGGTGCCTGGGTGGCTCAGTGGTTAAGTGTCTGCCTGTGGCTCAGGTAATGATCCTCTAGTCCTAGGATGGAGCCCTGTTTCAGGCTCCCTGCTCAGCGGGGAGCCTGCATCTCCCTCTCCCACTCCCCCTGCTTGTGCTCTGTCAAATAAATAAATAAAATCTTTTTTAAAAAAGTCCAGTAACTTTCCCCTATATTATTATTAAGGCAGCAAGCTTTGTGGCAAGAACCTTGGGCCCTGGGCTCTAGTCTAATCCTTACTCAGAATAACCTAAGAGAGTATTTTGCTTCAGCTTCCTCATCTATAAAACAGGGAAAATAGTATCTACCTGAATCCACCAGTGGGGATGCTATGAAAATAAGACACAATAAAATAAAAGCTACAACACTTTGGAAATAGAAGCAAATTAAATTAAAGCCTGTGTATTTTATTCCAAAGAGAAAATTCTGATTTTAACAAACTTAGTTCATTATATTTCCTAACCTGCAGCAAGTTAAGGCAACAAATGTGGTGCACTGGGATGGCAGCAAGATGCCCAAAGGTGAGAGGATGCATAAGAATGGTCATAAGCTCCCTCAAGTATGAGCTCCAGAGGCCTTTGCATGGAGGCAAAGATTCCTTAGCAGGGGCTGAAGGCAACAACTTTATCATGGAGCATAAATAACACATGTTCTGAAAAATGTCATGGTCACCAAAGAAAGATTAGAATATACTGAGAAATATATTCAAAATAGGTATTTAGAATAACGGGAAGTTTGTAATATTTTCATTTGGCACGATTAAAAATTTAGGAACTGAGAAATTAAAGGAATGACCCTGGGCACCAGGCATATAAATGAGGCCTTGGACCTTCTTGCCCAGCTCAGCCTCCAGCTGAATACGGTCAAGGGAGTGATCCCAGCCCATGCCACATGTAGTGAAAGAATCATCCTGATTAGCCCTAATATATTCCTGACCCACAGAATTGTGAAAAATAAATCACTGTTATCACTAAGTTTGGGGTTTTGTTGTTGTTGTTACTACACAGCAATAGGTAGCCAAAACATAATATACAAGAAAAGTTATTTCTAATGGTTTTCTAGCAAATCTGAATTTCCAACAGAAACAGAAATATTAGAGTCTAAGTAAATTCATTTTGCCTTCTCTTTATACAAAAATACCAACGCTTTTCCAAACGTTTCAAGTGAGGACTGCAGTCTCACTGAAACTCAGCAGGGTACAGTGAAAGAACAGCAGACTAGGAGTGAAGAAACCTGCCCCTAACCAGCTGTGGGCCTTGGCAGTGTGGCTTAGTAAGGGGTGCGGGTGGTGAGAGTTGTCTGCCCTGTGCAGGCAATAAAGGGATGCACTAGAGGTGGAGAATTTTAAAACTATAATAAAACCCACTAAAAGCTGACCAGCTTTTTATCACCATAGGCCAACAATTCTAAATAACTTCAGTAATAAAATCCTTCTTCCAATGGGGCTGACTTCTCCTATCCCAACGTCATCTCGGTAACACCTGGACTTTAGAAAGTTTAAGTCTTTGACCTTGAGCTTCACACTCTGTAAAATGATGGGGCTGATCCATCTCTAAAATTCTGATTCAAGAGACAGCCAGCTCTCTAAATGTGAACTTGTTCAAATTCATTCATTTATTCATTCCCTCAATGACCATCTACCGAGTACCTTCTATGTGCCAGGTACCCTTGTTAGGGCACAGAATGTGTAAGACCCAGGCCCTGCCCTTAAGGAGCTCATGCAGGAGCCACTCTGCAGCTACACCTCCTAGACCAGCTCCCATGGTGTCTTCTCACCTCCTTTGAGGTATCTTCTTTGATGACCAGGCTTGGTCCCAAAGGAACTATTCATAAGCAGAACCCACACTGGAGCTATTCATAATTAGAGCCTGTGACTCAGTCATCATCATGTCCCAGGGCCTAATTGTATAGCCTCTGGCTCTATAAATGTTTATTGAATGAGTAAATGAATAAACAATTGAAAATGGGGATTAATACCTGCCCAAGATACCATATTTAGTAAAGTGAATCATGTAAAATTAATACCTGAGCATTTTGACCTATAAAACAGCCATTTCATACGGTCCAGCCTGATGCACAGGATTTATAAAGAAGAAGATGGGCTGTGTGTTGGGTTTGGAATGAGAGATGAAGAGTATCTACCTTAGAATCCCATCCTAGAGGCCTTATTTCCCAAAGCCAAGAGGACCCCACTATGAGTTGGTTGTATTTATGTGAGTCCTTGCACAGGGGTTAGGGGCAATGCTGAACCATGTTCCAGATCCTGCTCATGCAGCCCTGCCCCCCACTTCTTAGCTGTACCTGATGGCTCTTCTCTGACTCATCTCCAGTGCTTTCTTCAGAGACTTGGGTGACAGGTTTCCAGCCACAGCCACTTCTTTTCCTGGACCTTTTGCCAAAATGTCCCCCTTCGAAGTCTCTCACTATGGAAGACCTTGTCAGGGTTAGGCAATTGCCACTGGTGTTCAGCTGCTGGCCCGGCAGCTGCCTGACAGGAGGTACATAGCTGGAAGCTGGGGGGCCCAGGGCTGAAGGGAAGTCATAGATGTTTGCGAACTCTCTTGAAGAAGCCCACAAAGACCTGCACTCCTCCTGCTCCCTCTGTATCATCTCAAGCTTATCGATTTTCTGTTGGATATTCCTGAGCAAATCGGCATTCTGGTGCATTAATGTCTGTGAAATCTTTAGATTCAGCACACACTTACTGATGTACTCCTCGGTCATGCACCTATTGCTCACATTGCCCTTGGCTTCTCTGGCTGGCTCGGGCAAGCTGGGTGAACTAAGAGAACCATTTTGCCAATCCCAGTCCTCAAAGGAGAGCTCTGTGCTAGCTTCTGAAGAGCTCTCGTCCTCATCACAAAAACAGCACGCCTCTCTCTCCATCTTGTCCAGCTCTTCTTCCATGGACGTCAGTTCATCTGCCTGGCTTGGTCCAGCCCCCTCAAAAGATGAACCGGCTCCCGGAGGCTCCTTCTCTTTGTCATCTCCCCTGTCCAGGCAGCCCGAGTAGATTTCGTTGATTTCGAAGCTACAGAGGCTTGCTTGACCTGGGCTGGGGCTCCTGGCCTCTTCCGCCACAGAGCCAGCAGGTGAAGCAGCGTCTTGGTTCTGAGTCTCCTTGGCCATCATACTTGGATCTAGGACTTGAGGATCTGGTGTCGCTTTCTCAGTGGGAGAAGAGGGACCCCTGGATGAATGAAGCCGACTCCCTGTTGGGAAGAATGGCAACATGCAACGGATTAAAGTGATCACATGCAGCAGCTAAGCAGCCTTGCCATGTTGTTCAAGTGGTGTGAGAATAGAGAAAGCAGCTTTTTATTTTCCCATTCCCTTCACAGGTGTGGAAGACTACCAGATACACTCACAGAGGGTGCGAGGGTATTTCTAACAGATGAAAATTTCCATTTTGACATGAGTTGAGGTAGAAAATTGAGGAGAGATCAAATCCTGGGGAAAATGTTCTAAGCTTAAGTTATAGTGTGTTCAAAACACACATAACTCTCAAGACATGGAAATTACAGACCCCTAAATCTCAAGGACTAAATTCATAGCTTCTTTTTACATACAAAGGAGTTTGAATACTCATGTCAGTTAAAGTTATGCTCTAGGTGAGTATCTGATAAAAGTAGCCACTGTATCACGGGAAGAATCATAATTCAAAAAATAACCCCAGAACTGACCACCCATCACCCCTGCTTGCAGAGAACAGGATGGAAGAGCCAAAGTAATGAGATGCCATTCTGGAGGCTTCCAGCCCTGTCCAAAGAGACAGAGAGAATGGTCACTTGGCCTGGATTCCAGCTCTGTAATAAGTCCTAAGTAAGCCCTTAGTTTTCTCATCTGGAATATGAGGATATTAAGCTGGATGATTGCTAGGTCCTCTTTAGCTCTGAATTCTAAGATTTCTAAATGTACTAAAAAGCTGTACGGCTATAGGAAAAGGAAAACACCAAAATATTGATAAATTATTTCTAAGTGGCAGAATTAAAATGATAAGTAATTTTCTTCTCTGCATGATTTCAAGTTTTCTATAATGAACAGATAATAGTTTTGAATTTTAAAATCACCATTTTTATTTGGGAAGCAATTAAATCAATTCCTAAGAATAATCATGCTAGAAATACACTAGTTGTTACTGCTTAGCTCTGGATCCAACCAAGGTGCATATGGAGCCAAAAAAATTTAACTTAGTAATTTCAAGAATCTTGATTTTTTTCCTAAGGCATCCACCATTTCCAAGTGTAAGTGACGTGTACAGTTTGGAGGAGTTGATTAGTTGTAGCTTGCAACTCTCCTAAAACATTCATGTCAAATAATGCTTAACCTGTGGGTTAAGGCCATACCCATTTCCTTTAGCTCTTTTATTTCCAAGTTAGGGGTCTCTTTCAGATGTTCTGAGGTCAGTCCTAGATAGACATTGACATCAGGATGGAGTTCATATCTCTGCACCTTGGGGCTCTCAGTTGGCTGAGTTCTCTGGGTTCCAAGAAAATCCTTCAACAAGGGAAATATCATTAAGGACATATTTATAATCATTTGAATGTCGCTGGTTTTTTTATTAAGTTTATTTAAGTAATCTCTATACCCAATGTGGGTCTCAAACCCACAACTCTGAGATCAAGAATCTCATGCTCTTCCAACTGAGCCAGCCAGGTGCCCTGTCACTGATGTTTTTGAAACAGATCTAGGTATCAAATAAATCCTTCTTCCTCCTGTTGGGCAGACTGACTATAACCCAAATTAGCTAATTCATTGTTATTACCAATATTTTTAAAATAATAACAATAGGGATGTCTGGATGGCTCAGTCAGTTAAGCATTTGCCTTTGGCTCAGGTCATGATCCTGGAGTCCCGGGACCAAGCCCCATGTTGGGCTCCCTGCTCAGAGGGAATCTGCTTGTCTCCCTCTGCCCCTCTCTGCTTGTGTTCTCTCTCTCTCAAATAAATAAAATCCTTAAAAATTAAATTAAATCAAGTTAAATTAAATAATAACAATAGCTCCCAGTCACTGAATCGCATTATGTGCCTATGCCCCTCTATGTGCTGACCTTCCCCAGCCTCCTTCATCAATTCCCTGCTGCTCCCACCAAGTGAAGCAGCTCGGAGTTCCTTTTCTTGGGAGCCCAGAAAGAGAGTGATGAAATGAGGATTTCCAAAACTTCTTACAACTTGATCTCTAGCTTCTTCCTGGTCTCTATGCCCCCTACACCACTGTGATGAGTAAGCTGAAATAAACTAACAGCTTCAGAGCTTACCTTTAAGTCATTCTTCAGAATGTACCGGATATCTTGAAGGTTCATATTTCGGTCTTTCTGCTTGACCTGGATGCCTGACTTAACAATATCATAGTAAGGCTTTGGAAGCCTGACATCAGCTTCTAAATAATTTCCCAAGACTATGGCTTCTTTGATAACTGAGCCATCTAAACCATTCCAGGGTATGTTATCTGTTAAGGAAAAATTCATAGGAAAGAGTAGCATTAAGAAATCATGTTTAAAAAAAAAAAGAAATCAGGTAAAACTGGGTAACCTTAGTCAAGTCACTCAACCCCTTTATTTCTTTTCTTTTTTTTTTTTATTTATTTGAGACAGAGAGAATGAGAGAGACAGAGAGCACATGAGAGGGGGAAGGGTCAGAGGGAGAAGCAGGCTCCCCGCCGAGCAGGGAGCCCGATGCAGGACTTGATCCCGGGACTCCAGGATCATGACCTGAGCCGAAGGCAGTCGCTTAACCAACTGAGCCACCCAGGCGCCCCGTCACTCAACCGCTTTAAATATTAATTTCTCTTTATAGAAAAAACTACCTGGAAGTCCAATCATATAAACAAGAAGCCACTTTACCTATTTACGAGGGAAATCCCTGCTGCAGAGACAGGGTCGGAATCATGTGCGCGTGGGCCCCCTGTTGGCGGACCTGAGCACCACAGCGAATGTTTTATGGCTTTAGGATCCGTAGCCCAGTGCATTCCTCTCATGGAAGGTGTGGTTTTGCCTCTCAGACCATAAACTATGCTAAATGGGAAGGGACTCTCACTTACCCCCTCAGTGAATGTGGTTTTACTGTATGTGTGTATGTGTGTTTCCCCTCTCCTCAAAGATTGTGTCTTCAGATATGTGATCACTTCCTTCACACTAGGGTCTTGCAGGTTTGGAAAGGCTTCCACATCTTTCAAGTGACACTGCCTATATACACACTAAACCCTAGGTTTGTTTGATTTCATAGTTTACCTCTCCAAGGCCAGTCTTTCCCCCTCATTTACAAGTTCTTTTTTTTTTTAAATTTTTAAAAAGATTTTATTTATTTGAGGGATAGAGAATGAGAGCGAGAGACAGTATGAGCAGGGGGAGGGGCAGAGGGAGAAGCAGACTCCCCGCTGAGCAGGGATATTGCCAAATGCAGGGCTTGATCTCAGGACCCCTGATCATGACCTAAGCTGAACCAACGGAGCCACCCAGGCACCCCTCATTTACAAGTTCTTAAGGGGCATCTCACAGAGACCCCTAAGCATTGACAGCAATATTCAGTTCAAAAACTTTGCTTGGGTTAAATGCATTACCTCTGACAGGATGGTAAGTGGACTTGGCTAAGCCTCAAAGAACAGGTTAAAAGAAAAAGACTTGGTGGCGCCTGGGTGGCTCAGTCGTTGGGTGTCTACCTTCGGCTCAGGTCATGATCCCAGGGTCCTGGGATGGAGCCCCGCATCAGGCTCCCTGCTCGGTGGGAGGCCTGCTTCTCCCTCTCCCTCTCCCCCTTCTTGTGTTCCCTCTCCCGCTGTGTATCTCTCTCTGTCAAATAAATAAAATATTTAAAAAAAATAAATCAAAGAAAAGAAAAGAAAAATAAAAAATAAAAGAAAAAGACTTCTGGGAGATCATCTCATATCTTCCATAAGCACAAAGAAGTTTCCTTGAAGAGATTTTTCTATGTCTGCATTTTCATAAAACTAAGTAACTCTTTTTTCTTTTTTTTCAGATTTTATTTATTTATTTGA